CACCAGCGCAGTGCCCTCTGGATTGGGGCGCTCTGAGGAAAACTCAGAACCAACCCGGAATTCTGGTTTTGCCACTTTAAGGCACGACAGCTCCGAAACTGAAAATGAAGGCAGTATTTTATGCATTTTGCTTGTTGTGTGTGGTTCAAGACCTGGAAAAACAGGTCTTGATTTTATCTCCAGCAACCCCAGCATGCCAGGCACCAGGTACAAAAACCACCTCTCCCTAAAACGGTTAGGAAATTATACGAAGCATGTATTTCACAAACGTGTGGTGAGTAACTGCCATTCGCTGACACAACAGCAGCTTCACCTTGAAACCCATCCTGTCCATCACATAAACGTCACCAGGGCAACACAGGGTGTCCGCCACCTCCGCTGTCCCTCTTGGGCGCTAAGAAAACTTTCAACTGCTGAGCGACAACCCAGGACAATGGAAGTCCAAAAACTATAGGTCCCGACCCTAAAGTGGATCAGGTACAAAATCATTACATCATGTGCCAAAATAATTATAAGAGAAAGGCGCAATAAGTTGCCATTGAAGAAGGCCAAGGCCGTGGACAATCTAGAACAGTTAGGAAATCTAAGAGTCCTGTGGCCCAGGGTTACCCTGAGTCCCCGGGATGAGAATGAACTTTAATGTGCACATAAAATATGACTGGAATAGAGATTTAATGTGCCTGTCTACTCAGAGACGGGAAGGCTGATGCTGTCTCTACTCTCAGTAACCTGTGGCAGGGACACTGTGAGCCCTTGAGATTCCAGGAGTCAGTCAAGTAGGACGGTTGGTTAGCGTTGTCAGCCTGACGGAATCTAGGCTCACCCGCGAGATGAGCCTCTGGGCATGCCTATCCTGTGCCGGTTTATCTTGATTCCAGCAATTAGAACCTGCAGCGTTTTACTTTTACCACTATAGTGGTCCGTGAAGGACCCTGAGGAGTAGCTCTAGGTGCCAACCAAGTAAGTTCTCTGTCATTTTTTAATCAGTAACTCAAGTAAAATTTTATCCTTCTCAAAGATCTCTGGTGCAGTTTAACAGATGAGAGGTTTTTGTCAGTTTAAAAGGACAGCCTCACCAAACAAATTTCAGTAAAATACAAATACAAGACCTGCAAGTTATAAAGGTGTGAGGATAAATACAAGTTATCAAATTTCTCTCACACACTGCTTTCCTTAGTCTTAAAAATACTTTCCACTGTGCAAAAATATCTGTCACGGTCATTCTGACATCAATACGCTGCTCTTTATACAGTGTATATGCCAGAAACTTCTGTTTTCACAAACCCAAAGAATTCTTGTGATTTCCACGGGGCTAACTGAAGGATCCACCTTTTTTTGTCTTTCCACAATGTCTTTACTGAGTAATGAATTCACAAACTATAGCAGGCTTTGTTGCCTGTGCCAAAATATCCCAATTTCCCTTCTAGCTGACTGATGGCAAACACAAGTTGTTTCCTTCTGACCTTAATTGTTAATATTAATGTGATTACATATTACACAGCACATGCTAATTACACACACACACACACACACACACACACACCTCCCACAAAAATAAAAAGGATGTCTTGCTAAAGAGAAGCCTACATGAAACTTTTGAGACAGAGTGTAGCTCTATAGACCAGCGACTCAAACGCCCAGCATCCTGCTGTGATGACCAGTAGGTACTACCATATGTGACTTTTTCATGAAATCTGAGTCCCCATCAATGCTGGCAAACATGCTGGTTAAAAGACAAGAAATGAAGAGAAGCAAAGAAGGCTGAGAAATGGAGGGATTGTAGTGTGGGACTTGGCACAATAGATAACAAAAGCCTGGGCCAAAATGCAGTACTCTAACTCACTTTGTGCTCTGATGGACACAGATGGATCTGAAGGCTTCAACCTGCCGTCCTGGTTCACACGTTTAGTTCGTTGTCATCTTGGCAGAAAGCAAGCCGGCACACAGGCAGACATGGTGTTTGCTGGAGAGGGAGCAGAGAGTTCTACATCTGGATCTGCAGGCAACAGGAAGAGAGAGGCACTGGGCCTGACTTGAACATTTGAAACCCCACAGCACAAGCCTAATGATACACTTCCTCCAACAAGGCCACACCTTCTAATAGTGCCACTCCCCAGTGACCAAGCATTCAAATCTATGAGTCTATGGGACCATTTCTATCTAAACCACTACACTATAAAATAACATTTTAAAATAGGATAAAAGGGGGCTGGAGAGATGGCTCAGAGGTTCAGAGCAGTGGCTGCTCTTCCAGAGGTCCTGAGTTCAATTCCCAGCATCCATATGGTAGCTCACATCCATCTGTATGAGATCTGGTGCCCTCTTCTGGCCTGCAGACACACATGGAAGAAATGTTGTATACATAATAAATGAATAAATCTTTGAAAAAATAGGATAAAAGAATAAAACCAAAATTGAAGGGCTGGAACTAATACTGAGGAAATCTAGAATGTGAAACAGATAATTTAAGGACTTGTTCAATTAACAGTACTTTCAAAATGAACAGGAGATACCATGGAGTAATTAGGGAAAGTTTCCAAGTCTGAGAAAACAGAAATTTCAGAATTAAAATGATTAATCACATACTCAATGCAAAGAGTGGATAAAGACTCAGAGAAGAAAAAAATATTTTCATCTTCAGTGTAGCGCCCAACGCCCAACTGTGCTCTATGCGCTACCATACAGTACGTGAGCCTCGGGCAAGGGGCTGGAGATTGAAACACATAAAGACACACAGAGACAGCACAGACAGAGACACACAGTCTAGTCACTGGTAAGAAGCCCTTTATTGAATAGCACCACGGAGGCTTATATATCCAACAGTCAGGTGGGCCAACAGGTGAAAACCTTATCCTCTGATCCTCAAGGCCAAGGCAACCAACATGTGCTCGTGAAGCAGAGCTGGTAAACAACTTTGACACAGCCTTTAGTAACTCAAATCAGAAGGAAAGTAAAGATCTCTAGCAGGGAAGAGCAGCTGGAGGCCAGGACTCCAAATGGTTCCAACACTTCAGGACATTGGTTATCAAAATGAAGTATAAGCCATGACTATTTATGATGTAAATTTGGAATTCACGAAGAAATGTTTTTAACATAGATTGGGTGCAGGCATTAAGGGAGAGAAGGGGGCTCTCAGGAAAAGGACAGTACACACTCTGGGTCCATAAGGGAGAGCACTTGTCCTTTTAGACCATCAGCTCCTTGAAGCCATGAGTATCTGCAGTCCTGTTGATCCCTGACTCCAGCAGCTGACAGAGACCACCCAGTGTGAACAGTTTCTCCACTGCCTTGTCCCTTGAGGAAGAGAGTTAAAAGCTGGAGGCAAACCCGAACTTCCACCTTCAGAAAGTCAGGCTGTTTCTTGTGTGATGGGGTCTGGGAAGGGAAGAAATGCTTTCCTGGGCTCTTCTGTGGCCAGAAGACAATGGGGAGAGGGAGGCAGCATGGGTAAGCGCATTCCCCGGAAACAAGGCACTGAACACGCCAAGCCTATTTAACGCGGTGCTCCCAGGTTCTGACCCAGATAGAGAGCGAACACTTTCTCAGCACCTAGGAGGCACAGATCACATGACTTAAACCTGGACACTGAGAAGAGCCCATCCTACCTGGCAAGTCTGATTGGCTAAATTTGAGGATTGTGACCAATCAGACCCTGGGTCAGGCACAGTTGAAAGTGAGCGAGGGTTATTAAGGCAGTTGGTGCCTGACTTGATTCGAAGGCAGAGCTTTCTCTACGGCGACACTAGTGGCAGTGTTGGTGCCCGAGTGTGTGTGCACTGAGCCAGGAAATCAGGAGAGGTACTGCCTGTTTACTCCTTCAGCGCAGTCTTGTCTGCTGCCGTCTGCCATGACACTGCTCGCTTTGACGGGGGTTCCCTCACCCCGTGTTGTTTGCTTCTGTAAACCACTCTGGATTAGGTGTTACCATGTTGGCCCTGGTCCTGCTGTCAATTGGGGCCACCCAGCTCCCATGCAGCACACTGTAGACTCTGTGTGGTGGCTGGTGACCCAGACCCTTGTACAGCACTTTGAGCTAGAAGGATCCACCTTAAACAGGTCAGATACACCCCTCTCAATTCCCTGGTCCTAATTTTTTTTCTTTAACTTAACTTAGTCCTCTGTCCAGCCAATACATTAGACAGGTGTAAGAGACACCAGACATTTCCATGCCACAAGCCAGTGTGTGAGAGCATGGGGGTGCGGGGAATCTGTGGAGGTCAGAGGGCAGCCGTCTGGAGTCAGACCTTCCCTCCCACCTTTATGTAGGTTCCAGGGATCGGGCTCAGTCACCAGGTTTGCACAGTAAGCACTCCCATCTCTTGCCCATCTCACCAACCCCGTTGTATGACCTTTCCTTTACAGCGTTTGACCACTGGTGTGCAGACACAGGAAACTAGGATCGTCCCACTGGTGTTGGGGGCTTGTTGGATTTTCCTACACTTGATACGATATGGAGAAACAGAGTTCAGGGTGTTCTCATTAATGTGCTGATGCAGGCTGTGACCCTGTCATGCAGTCCTCAAGCTGTGCTGACCCCAACCATAAAAACTGGTTTTGATGCTACTTCATAACTGCCATTTTGCTACTGTTATGAATCATAATGTAGATGTTTTTGGAGAGAGAGGTTTGCCAAGTGGGTCACAACAGAGACTCTCAGCTAGGAGAAAAGAAATGAGAGCAACAGAAGGCAGGGGTGTGGGAGCAGCAAGTGAGAGGGCTGAGGGCCACGGTCAGTGTACACTGTGGTGGCTGGAGACACTGAACAGGCTGTGTGACGAGCACTGACCTGCGCACACAGGAGACACTGAACAGGCTGTGTGACGAGCACTGACCTGCGCACACAGGAGACACTGAACAGGCTGTGTGACGTG